ACCAAGTCAAGGGTTAAGATCCCCTTACCGGTCATCTTTTAAAAAAAAAAAAAAAAAAAGTCCACTCGTGGATGTGGATGAGAAGGATGTCCATTGTATTCACTAACACAGAAGTCACTGATGACCTTAACCATACACACAATAAACATACACACATGCACACATGCATGGTCATACTCACCAAGTTCCCCATGCTCACGAATCTCAAATGTCACCCACAAGTCTGTCCCAGGTACTGTCCCCCGCATCTCCAGTACCTGTTTAGTCAGTTCCTCAGCAGTCAGGGTTGGGGACACCTGGGGTCAGGGCAACAGCAGAGAATCCATGCTGGTCAGGCCATTGCTCCTGCTCCCCACCATCCTCTCATCTCCCCTTCAGTCCCTCAGGACTGACCTTTAAGGTGACACAATTGTCCGGGAGCTGCTGTTCTATATAAACCTCCATGATAAGGTCTCCAGCTTGAGACAGCTGAGGGGAGGGGTAAAGAAATCAGAAGGACACAAGAGGATGTGAAAAAATCAAAGTCAGAGGGTTCCTCGTGTTGACTCATAATCATGTCCCCCCACAAAGGTCTCCTCCCAACCTTCACCCCCAGCATTGCTCAGGAGGACTCCAGGAGTGGCGGAACCACATCCTTGGGCTGCGTATGGTGCTTCCCAAGGCAGTGCAGCATAGTGGCTGGGAGGACAAGTTTAGAGTCATACTGCCTGGGTTCCAACTCTGTCACTCACTACAGTGCGATCTTGAATAAGTGATCTTCCAAGCCTCATTTTCTTTATTTGAATAAAGGGACTATCTACTTCATGGAGTTGTATGATGCTAAAATGAGATTAGAGGTGCTTCAAATATAATAAGTCCTCAGCTAATATTTGCTGTTTTATTTATTGTTATTATTTTCACTGCTTTGTCTAACTTTACCAACTCTTCCTTGGATCTCTTACACTTAGAAGGGAGGTGCTGCTGCCACCATTTTGTAATGAAGAATTCTCCTGGTGGAACGAATAGTGCAAACCCTAACCAAACCCCACTCCCCAAAGCACTTCCCTCGTGGGTTTCCCCTGTCTCCCAGAGAGCTGAGGGCAGTGTCCAGAAGGACAGGCTGAAAAGGAAACTTCCTCAACTGGGCAGAAGGTCAGCTTCCTATCTTGATGTCCCCTCCTGTCCCACTCAGGGGTCTAAGATCGGGATCAGTTACCTGCACATCCTTCCAGGTGGTGATAAGACTGACTTCCAAGTCAATCTGAGCTACCTGGTCAGAATCAATCTGTGAAAGAGCAAAAAGGTAGTGTGGTGTATGCTGGGAAAGGGGGCAAACAGGGCAGATCTCAAAGTCCCAGGAGGACCTATAACAGAGTTGGAGGCCTGAAGAGCTAAGAACCAATGAGGTAACGAAATTGGGAGTGAGGTTATGGGAGAGTCCCAGAGCTCTGGAAGGTGGTTCCTGGTGCTGAGGGCCATTAGAGGGTTGGGCTGGGGGCTTGTTGGGTGGGCAGGACCCAGAGACTCTGGGTACTGCAGGGGTAGGGGAGAGGGGTTGTGGGTTAGGTGTGAAGGGTTAGGAAATCCTTACGTCAAAGACAGAGACATAGCCATCGATGAGCTCCTGCAGCACCCGCACCTCGTGTTCCCCCCGCCCATCCGTCTGGAACACGCTGGGCGCAAACAGCAGGGCCAGGTTCCGTGTGCACATTTGGTTCAGAGCTGCACATTTCTGCACCCTGCACAGGGGCACCAGGATCATGAGGAATGCAGCCTGTGCTCACCCCTTCATCAACACATCCATTCATTCAGCACTTATTGAGCCCCTACTGTATGCCAGGCCTTGGGCTAAGCACTTAGTTTACAGCAGTGAGTAAAACACAATACTGGCCTCAAGGAGCTCACAGTCTATGGGGGAGAAAAATAAGGTATGGGCAATTATAAATATAATCAAGTATAAGGGGTCAGCAAACTTTTTATATAAAGGAACAGATGGTAAATATTCTAGCCACAGGCCATACAGTCTCTATCATAACTCCTGAATTCCGCTGTTGTAGCACAAAAGGGGCCATAGAAAATATATAAATGAATGGGGATGGCTTTACACTTTATGTACAAAACTTTGCTTACAAAAACAGGCAATGGGCTGGATCTGGCCCATGGGCCTGTAGTTGTCCAGTCTCTGTAATATAGTGTAGTGAGTGCAACACAGCCAGGGGTTCACCCCAGAATTGCTCAAAGGCCTTTCTCCCCAACAGACTGTTAAAGATAGATCTGCATCTTATTCATCTCTGTTTTCTTACATCTAACCCTTTACCTGGCATAAAACAAAATAATGTTGATTGTTAACCATTTCTGAAGGCTTACTACATACTAGGTGCTGTACTAAGAATTTTACAAGGATTATCTCATTTAACTCTCACATAACCTATTCATTACATCATCTTCCTTTTAGAAATGAGGAAACTGAGACTCGGAGAGAATAAATAACGTACCTAAAGTCGCACAGCTAGAATGACAGTGCCAGATTACAGCCTAGGTCTGCCTGACCCCAAAGTCCATTCTCTGAACCTTTATGCTATGAACTGTCACTCAACAACTGTTTGTGGAATGAACGAATGATGAACGAATGAATGTAAGTGTGGGATCTGATCGAAGTGACAAAGGGTCAGTGAGAGAGCCTGCAGGGGGTCTGCAGATACAGATGTCAGATACAGATACAGATCTGCAGATACTGACCGATACAGATGTCCGATAAGGGTGGCCAGTGTGCGGCGGTTGACATGTGGCAGGCAGCCAATCACTTCTTTGTATTTCTCCAGGCGCTGATTCTTCTGGGGAAGCTCTGTGGATGGAAGAATGGAGGAGGGTTGGAGAGGATACAGGAAGGGAGAGTGGAGGGAGGGGTTTTTAGAGAAACAAACACAGGATGGATGTGGCTCTGCTCCCTTTCCCTTAGCCAAGTCTTTGGATGATCCCCCAGGGTGGGGAATGTTGGGGAGGGGGGCTACCCTGTCCCACAAGAGAGCTGTATGGATTCTGGTGGGGGACGGTGGAGATCCTGGTTGGGCCTTGGGTGGCCCTGAGGAGTTCTTAGGGATCTTGGGAGTACCAGCAGCCTCCCTCCAGCGTGGCAGCAACCGTGCAGAGGTCACAGGGTCGTCAAGCTCACGAAAGAAGCGTTTGAGTGTGTCGGTAACATCTTCCACAAAGTGCTCCCCTGGTCGGAGCTTCACTGACCGGGCATCTCGCCGGAACTCAGCCAGGAGCCGCAGGCTGCGGGCACGAGCACCCCCTTTCCGGTATACACCCTCCAGCCGGAGTCCTGAGAACAACCAGCCATCTCTGCTTAGCAGTGTGCAAAGACCTCCCATCTCCCACTTCCCACCCCCTACCCCATAGCCCATCTGTGACCACCCTATGTGATATGTGGCTGGAGGATCAGAGAGGAGGAAATCTATGACTCCATGGTCTTGATTCTCAGGTCCCTGCTGTAGTCCCCGCCGTCGGAAAGTCCTTCCCTGATCTCACTACCACACAATGACATCCCCGATCATGCTGTATTTTCTCTTCGCTGCATTTTTAAATAACACTCTCTGAAATCACATTACAGTTGATACTTATTATCTGCAGGTTCCGTATTTGCATTTTTGCCTACTTGATAAAATTTATCTGTAACCTTAAAATCAATACTTCCAGCATTTTTTTTTCCTTTTTTGTCTTTTTTCCTGACCGGTAACGGGATCACAACCCTCAGTGTCGCACCTGTACCGTGACCGGCAATGGGATCGCAACCCTTGGTGTCACACCCGCACTGCGCCCAACCAGTGAGCGGGAACCGGTCTCTATATGGGATCCAAACCCTCGACGGGAGCGCCACCGTGCTCCCAAGTACCGCATTCTACCGAGCGTGCCACCGGGCCGGCCCTACTTTCAGCATTTTTGCAGTCATTTGCGCCACCGGGCTGGCCCTACTTTCAG